TCACTCTCAGCCTCAAACACATACACACACGGTACCTCCTGTCCAGAGACGGCAGTGTAGTCGAGCGCCGGGGCCTTCAGCATCAGTCGGACTTCTTTGCGGTGGTCTTGAATCTCATTGACGACAGTCTGGATCTGCTCCCTCCTTTCCTGCAGCACCGGGAAGCCGGACAGATCTGAGAACAGCTCTGTCTTATTTCCCGACCTCCACAAACACACAGAAACAGTCAAAATGTGACAGCCTCTGGTAACATATGACAGCACACATACAGGACAGTTTCTGATGCTACATAGGCTAAATAAATAAAACAAATTCCTGTGTCACTAGAAAGTCCTTCTCTGTGGAGCTCCATGCCAACTGCTCATTATGAGGACAGCAGGCATACAGCATTACTTACAATACCGCCTTGTATGTTATATTTTTAGGCCTAATTTCTTGGTAGGGAGGTGTATTTTTCTGATATTAACATAAACATTGACATGAACGTGGGCGCCTGATGTGAACTTGCTAGTTTGTTGTGTGTTTAGCAATCAAACTGAGATAAATTTGCATTGATATGAATGAAATGCAGCTGTAGACGAGTCAAAAGAGTCAAAGAGACAATCATTTCTCAATCAACAGAGATTTATACATTTTACATTTCTTTAATAAATCAAGATATTCAAATGTGAATATTGAAACAGTAGAAAATGATGTGCAAGTCATATGCAGCTGCAATTTATTTTTTTCATAATTTTGAGATACTATCATATAACACAGGGTACAGGCAAGTTAATTAGCAGGACAATCTTCCCCAAAACGAACTGTATTATTCTAAACCCCCAGCTAGTGCTGAAAAAAATTTTGATAAATTGAACAACAGAACCGTAATCAACAACAGTTTGGGGAAATTAGTAATCATTTTAAGTCCTGTTTGAAGCAAAAATGTTAAGATTTGCTGCTTCATTGCAAACAGGAACTCTGGGGTTTAGACTGTTGGCGGCCTTAAGCTATGAGCATTTCATTATTTTCTGACATTTCATAGACGACACAATTCATCAGTTAATTTAAAAAAAAAAAAAAAAAACTATAGATTTATCCATAATGAAAGTAATCTTTAGTTGCAGCCCTGCACTGCAGACTAGGGTGAGTGCATCAACAACAACAAGCAATTTAATTCACTGAAATACTGACCTGATTGACCATATTCTTTTGTAATGAATAGTAAAAATAATCTTCAGACTATAAACATTCTGAGTTGTGTGTCAGTCGCTTTGTTTAAAGCTTCGTTCAACAGGAGTATGAAATCTACTTAATATTAAATCAGTATTCACTACTTCGTGTAGAAAACATTCTTCCCTGAATCAACACACTACCTCCTTTTCGTGCTGCTGGATACTCACTTGGCAGCCGTTTCATTGAGCACCTTGAGGAAGCTGTGGGCCGGAGCCAGCAGGTCAGCAGTGTCCAACGAGAGGTCTCGGAGCAGTGATGAGCTGATCTGTGACTGGATAGCTGGAAGCAAGGCCTGCAGTTCAAGCCCCAGACGAGAAAGACTGCTACTAATGAGGTAAAACTCCTGCGTGGAAGACTGGAAAACATACACAAAGATGTGCATAATAATTGATGAACCATAGGTGGTTGATTCTTTTGATATAGTTTATCTCAGAGACTGATCAGAAAGTAATGGCCATTTATGAACCAGAAATAATAAGAAAAACCTTTATTCTCCAACAAAATGCGAATTATGTTCTCAGTATTCCAGTGTGTGTGTGTGTGTGTGTGTGTTTGTGTGTGTGTGTTTTGTTACAGGGGGATGCTGTAAACCAGCTAGATTGGATCACTAAATCTCATCTGCACTGGTTACGACAGCCAGGCTTAAAGAGCACCATGTATTACAGCCAACGCTCTGAGAGACACCACCATTATCAAAAGCACAAATTGCAAGTCTTCACAATATGGCAGCAAGGAAATAAAACATCACAGTTGCTTTACTGCATCACATATGAGGGAAAAATATCATCAAAATGCCGATACAAGACTTATTCAGAACTTCGTTTATTGATATGTTTCTATGAAGGTACTCTGGCTCATTTAATATATTTTATTTTGTGTAAAAGCTCTTATGGTAATTGCTCATGATCCACAATATAAGAAACATAGCTGTCTGTAATCCAATACTAAACCAGCTACCGTTGTACGTTTCCTCATGATCACTGCGGCAGATTTAAAAATAGAACTGGTGATCATTTAAATGAATGATTAATCAATGCTCTGCATGGAAACAACTCTGAAGAGAGGCGATATTGTCGATTATATTGACTTCATATTGCCATTAGTGATGTCATAGTATGGTAGCAAGTCATGAAAGGTTAATGAAAGTCACGGTGACAATGGTTTATGGTATCAATCACGTGCTGCAGCCTTAATGGTCCCCGATGTCAGCTGCCCCCATGATGCTCTTTTATGAACCCAAATAGAAAGTGACTGGAGACCATAAGCATGCCCTCCCTCCCATTATGTCAATGGAGCCATAGAGACACAGGCCATTACACACAGGCCCATTTATCTACAGATGGGCAAAATGACAATTAAGGCCCCTGTGTGTGTGTGTGTGTGTGTGTGTGTGTGTGTGTGTGTGTGTGTGTGTGTGTGTGTGACATTTGATCATTTTTTTCTTTTAACAATATATGAAGGAGTCAGGAAGTTGAACATGAAACAAGACATCAGGCTCAGACCAGAGTGCCTCTCTCATCTCTGTACAACACACACGCGCACACACACACACACACACACACACACACACACACACACGTGGGATGAAGCCTTCTGACATTTTAAAAATGAGTCCGTTAGGAAATGAGATTGTGTCAGACAATCAGGTAAGTGCCACTGAGGTGACTGCTCCCTTTTGTTAATCAAGAAGCACGCCATAAAAAAGAGACAGAGAGAGAGAAAAGGGGGTGAGAGAAACAGAGAGAGAGGAAATTGTCTTGGTTTTCATTTTTATGCAAAACAGCAAGGACAGGAGGTCTGTTTCTTTACCACCTGTAAGATTTTTGTAGTTTGAACCATTTCTTACTGTTTTTAACTGCGTCACTACACCCACAGAGTGAAATGTTATGATAACTGACAGAAAACTCAACAATAATAACACCATGGTTGTTAAAAAAAAGATATTATCCTAGCGTCCAGAGACGTGTGCATCTATGTGTGTCCCATTTTACTTTCTTTCTTTTTTTTTACCTTTTTATGGTATATGCAGCAGATGCCTCTCTCCAGGTCGGGCAAATGTGACAGCAGAGATCTGATAGAATTTAAAGTGAGAGAGTCTGACTCCAGGATCTCCTGCACAGCATCCTGTCTCTCTGAGATAGACCTGTGGGTTCATGGAAGAAGATGAAAGAAGGAAGTGAAATTAAAGCAAATCTTCAATCCCAGTCATCAGCAAAGGAAATGTGTCACCTGGAGAGCTGTATCGCCCTTGATTGAAAGCTTTTCCAGAGAGATGCTTTGAAGTGAGAACAAATAACTGCTGAATTGCCACTGATTAGCTTCTTCATAAATTCTGTGATGTGCTGAGGTTTGACAGTAGCCTGAAAAACTCAATCGACCATCTATGAAATAAGTGTTTCTGGTGATGGATTAGGAAAAAAATAGCTAAGAAACATTTGAGTACTTTTCATAATGTGGCTGCCTGAAACATGAAAGTTTAAAGTATAAAGTCTTTAAAACTTGTACAAATGCATTCTATTGAAAACACAAAGAGTACACATTTATTCTGAGAGCTTAAACATCTGGAAAGAAAAAAAAAAAACAGCAGATAAAGTCAAGCTTAGTTATGTAATAAAATGGACAATGTTTGTGTCATGTGCTGCGGCACTGTGTATCTTGGAATTAACGTGCCTCGTGTAATCTGGGTTTTATTGATGTTGAAATTCTGTAGAGGAGCTATCTGTATAATCTGAGAGGAGAGCCAAATACACAGCTATAATCCCTGCACTGTGGGAGGGAGAGGGTCACACACACACAGACACACACACACACACACAGACACACAGACACACACACACACACACACACACACACAATATCAATATATGGATAATAAAATTACACTGCAGAGAAGAGAACAGGAATAGTACTGCGATATTAAAACTGAGAGGTTGTTTGTAGCAGAAGTGCTGTGAGTCAGTTTCAGCATTTTTATGTAAAGAGGTCGCCTCCAGAACACTTTTTATGCGTTTTCACCCTGCAGTGTTTCTGAAAAGAGGTGCTCTGCTGGGTGAAAAATAAGTTCACATTGCGGGCTCCTTATGTCCTCTCTAACAACACTGACTTATTTGTGTGACATTGGAGGATTTCTTTCAAAATACAAAGTCAAGCATCAAAAAAAGAAAATGGGCACTGTACATTGTATTTGTGACAGTGATGTGCCCTCTAAAGTAGGGATGTGAATCCCCACCACTGAGGCCGATTCGATACACATCTCGATACACTGCCAGCGATACATTAACGATACAGTGGAGCCCCCTGCCGATACGATGCGATACGATTCACCTCTGTTCACGATGCGATGCGATTCATTAATGATTTGACAACGATTTGACTTTATACAATGCGATTCGGTTCAATACGATTCATGATGCAATTCAAAACGATTCAACACAAGCCCACATCTGGTTTCTAATGTATTTGATACTTGATTGTTTTCTTTAAAGCAAACCAATAAATCCAACTTAAAAAGATGATGCAATTCAATATAGTACAGACAGAGGATTGTTTTATTCCTAATAAACACTAAATCATAAACAAAACTTTTTTTTTTTTAATCTCATTATCTGCTACACTAAATTTATTGTATTCGGGCAATTTCTTTTCGGCCTCTTAATAAAAAAACAAAACAAACAGTCCTTTTCACAATGTTTTACAAAACACTTATAAAACTTCCCAACAATGTGCATTGTGCAAATAACTTTATCATAGTGCAATGTCCATACTACTGCCTGCCAGACTGATGTGCTTGAGCTGACACTCTTCTAGTTGGCTAACTGAGTAGTGACAGCAGAAATCATTGAGATTTATTCAACAATATAACAGAACAATTGCAACTGCTTACAAATGTAAGTGTAAAAAAATTTAACTATTGACTGACAGCCACAGCAACTGTAAACATCACTCACACTGAGGTATATCAACTAGAGGTCTTTGGACTTGTGTGTCGTCCAAGGTACGATTAATATGTCCTCTTCACCTGCTGTGTCGCTTCCCTCCATTTTTTCTGTTTACTAACTAACTGCGTCTGCGACACCGTGCAAAAAGATGTGATGGTGCGTTCAAGGCGCCTCGAAAACACGGGTGCAGAGGAGATAAAATATGTAATAATCGATGTAACCATGGGTTTTACCGATGCAGACACGCAAAGAAAGATACATTGCGCGTTTAGCCGGCAGTTGTATCCGATGCACACAGAAGCTACCGGTGCACTCGCATCGCAAACGTCTGTCTCGGACCACCGATTCAAATCTCTGGGAAACATTAATATAGTCTGTTGTTCCAGGTAATTAAACCCAGATTTAATGAATATAATGTTGAATTGTCAATGCACAGTATTTCTAATGCTTACACAACTGTCCTGAGTTGTCCAGTGAATGCTTGCAAATCATAAACACTGGAATCTTTCCCTTTTCTTGCAGTCATACCATATGGCGCCATAAGCACTGACTGAGAGGCTTAATTCAGGGCAAGAAAGAGCCCTCATCATGGTTCTGTGATCCAGATAGCCTCACAAAGCAAATAAACTCCTGGTGTTCAGATGTATTTTGTGGCACTGTGAAACTGAATGATAAGATTAGAGAAAGAAGGTGGATCATTACAGTTCAGCACTGACAGTCAAGCTTCATCAGAGGTCCTGTACTCACTGCTGGTCTGTGAGGGGCTGGCTCACCCACTTCCTCATCAGTCTCCGCCCAAACGGAGTGCGAGTGTGGTCCAACACCCACAGCAGACTGCCCTTCACACCACCATCTGTCTGTCATCGAAAGAACACACAAACACAGCTTACACACGTGCATCATTCGGATGAGACAAATTTCAGGAAGAGAAAAACATTATGATGTAAGACATGTAAGGTGAGCAGGTGATGGAAGCCACAAGCAGTCAGGTGAGGAGGCTTGAACTGAGCCTGAACTCCATGTGTGACACACATGCCACGGCAGCGGAGTCGTGCTGAACTTTTGAGCCATCACCCACGCAAGCCTAACTAGTCACTGAACATTTTCTTCTGATCTGAGGAACGACAATTTAACTCACCCATTAAATTTTTACAGTCCCCTGTGCACCCATGGCTGTATACCGATTTCCACAAGATGTAGAGGAAGACTGAACAGTCTGGACTTTTCTAAAAAGGTATTAGCACTGGAAGGAGTCTATCTACCTGGTACGCTGTGTGACATTTCTAGTTGGCTGGCTGTCAACACTGTTATGTGGTGAAAGCTTGCCAAAAACGGAATACTCAAGTAAAGCAGGTCAGTCTGTCTATACCCCAGGCTTTTTCTTTTTTTTTTTTTTAAACTGAGGTGAATGTAACAAACATGTTCAAGCTTTTTAACTGTCACTGACATGCACCTCTGTTCAGCGGTCTCCCTCGACCTTGCTCTTGGTCTTAAGTCAGACATAAGACACAAAAATGAGGATTGAGCATTAAATTGAGAATTCACTTAAACAGCTCAATATTTTTGTAAAAACAAATGTATCAAAGGACAATCAAATGAAAGCGCTCGTGGTGATGAACCTACAGAGAATTATCACCTGAACCTGCAGCTCCCCTTGGCTTTATGAAGATTTATAGAGAGATTCAGCTCATTGTTTAGCTGTCTGGCCCACAACTTTACTGTTTTGGTTCATTCTCGCTGCTCTCAGAGCATCGTTTTTGGCCACAACAGGCAGCTCGTTTCAGCAAAAAGCTCTAAAATCCCATGTACTCTACTGCTCAGCATCAAACAACAGACAACACACACAGTTAGCAATTAGCAGATGAACATAGTGGAGCATTTGGCGGTTAAAGAGTTGAAAACAGAGCTTAACTTAACTCCTTCAACTACTTGACTTGAAAGCACAGACATTCACCTGGAACAATAAACAGGGGTCTACTTCGCTTCACACACTTGAGCCTTGCTTTGACTTGTGGATAAAAAGACTCAACAGTTCTGATTCTAGCCAAAGTAATTAAAGAAATCTGAGTTTTCTTCACCAGGCCAAAGACAAAGTGCAGATGTTTCTGTTTAGCAATAAGTATACACAGGAGGATGGTGTAGTATGGCGCAGTGTAAACCATTTATCATCCAGACACACCTCACACCTTCATTATGCTTGATCAGTTTCCATGACTGCCAGCTGAGATGTGCTTTTACCTGATTGTTGAGAATTTCCAGGTTCCTGAGGGTGGCGGCACTGAGGATCATACCCTCTGACGCACAGGACAGACGCCGGAACGAGCTGCATGGAGCACAAAATCATATTCAAATTCAGCTGCAGGATCAAATTTATTTCAACTCAAATCACAGACAGAACAGAAAGCTGTTCTCCCTGTCTGGCTAGTAAATGTTGTACAAGGGGCACATTTTAAAATAAGTTTTAAAATACATTGCGGTATATTCCTGCAATGCATAAAATCTCACATTATCCCAGGAGAATTTCAATGAGCCTTGAGAACACTGGATAATTATGCTCACAGCTTGTGTTGCTAAGTGTGTGTATATTTGTTTGCATGTACCTTTCACTCCTAAGAACTCTTTCTAAGTTGAATTCTTGGAGGTACTGGATGAGCGGCCCCAGACAGCAGATCACTGGGCTCTCCAAGGATGCCACACTCGACAGAGAGTGAGAGCCTGGAGGACACAGACAGACAAAACATGCTACATTTTCACACGTAAAACACACCCGCGGCTCACAGGCCCACACCTCAGACACCTGCAGTGCTTTACAGCTGAAGGGCTGTTGTGGTCTCAATGACAGTATATGAGTAACTGACACAAACAAACACACCTTTCTCCTGGGCGTGGCAGTAGAACTCGGTGACTGTGCTCATCGCAGAGGCGAACTCAAACAGAGCGCTGTCCCTCTTTTCAACTCTCACTCGGTCATCAGCCTGAGCACTGGAGGGGAACAACATGACAGCATTGATTCAAGAGGTCAGTGGTGCTAGTGAAGGAAACACAACATCCGATATCTGATCATCTTCCTGTCTGTGAGACATAGCAGCACTGCATGTTCCAGCCGTCCTTTAGTTCAGTTAGACTCTAATCTCACGCACACACACACACACACACACACACACACACACACACACACACACACACACACACACACACTTTCCCTGCAGCCCTCTGTTGTGCCATCGCATCTCCCTATTGCTCCATTCACTCTCTCAGCATTGCTGCTTTCAAGGACTCAGTTGCTTTGTTCGCTCTGTTGTTGCCAGGGAAACCAAGGTAAACACGTGGCTGTGGACGCAGTGCTGGAGCATTTTCTTTATTCCGTTTCCTACTGTAATGCTTATACACACACACACACACAGAGACAAATCATCATCTTTCACTTCAGCTACTGGTCGAACTGGGAGCGAAGATTGTATAAAAGTGATCAATAGACCGCATATTGTGCCAGCAGTGCAACTACAACCATTAATCATTTAACCAGTCAATTCAACCATATTATGAGGTTTACGAGAACAGCGACAATTGCTGGGATTGATCCAGGGACAGAAGGGTGCAGTGTAGCATTTCTGCAAAACCCGGACAGGACCCAGCTTTGTGAACTTGGGTTTAGGAAGTCTCAGTCTTGTTTGAGGTTCACAGGAAACTACAAAGCTGGACACTGGTTCAGGTTTGTGCAAACCGCTGACCAGAGGTTTGAGTTATGCACATTACTCCAGCTTACATTAAAGGGTTAGTTAACTTATATTTATAAAAATAAATAAAAAAACATATTCTCAGCTCTTGAATCTACTGTGCAGATGGCTTTGATTTCCGCTGTACAGTGAAGGTGAATGGAAATTAGTTTTTTTGCTCACGGAATTGAAAAATTATATTCAAACCAGAGTCCACAGTTACAGCCATATCAGGTAGTACTTATGCACAACAGTGTTTTGAGATAAATGTATGATGACCTGATGATGGTGTTAGATGAAAAGTCAGGGGATCACCAAAGTATTAGAATTCATCCCCTGGGGAGCAAAAATGTCAGCACAAAATTTTGTGGCAATATATCCAATAGTTGTTGAGATATTTAATTCTGGACCAAAGTGCTCAACCAAAGTACACTGCCATCCACAGAGCCACAAACTGGCCCAAACCATTTGTAGTAGTGTGTCTTTCCAAAACCACCCCAGTCACTGTGGACAATCCACATATGCAACAAACACTGTTCATGATGTTTCTGGACGGAGATGATGCTGTTAGTGTTTTCAAACGCAGTTTTTCAATACTGTGAGCACTACAAATTAAACTCCATCATATTGGAGTGGCAGCAAGTGAGAGGATATGAGTCCTTTTTTTTTAAATTCAGGTTTAGTTTCGTCACTGCAGATGTAAAGGGGTGGGCGCTTCACTCAAAGAAGTGACGCATCACTTCTTTGGCAATGAGTTTTTGTTTTTTTTAATGTTCAGAGCACTGTGACGGTAATAATCAATCAAAAGCAGAGATAGCTAAAGGTTAAGTCAGAGATGTTGCAGCCCAGAGATCAGAGGTTAATGTGCACAACAGATTAAGGACCTCGATTAGAATCTATTGTTGCAGGGTGAATACAAAGCTCACACACACATATACAAAATACACGTCTTCTGGGTGTGTGTGTGTGTGTGTGTGTGTGTGTGTGTGTGTGTTCATGTGTGAGCGTGCTTGAGTGGATCAACCCTAATACATGGCTGCTGTCCTACCATGTACCCAGGATGTAATATTAACTTTACAGTGTCAGTCACTGACTTAAAATCTGTGGAAAAGGCGAGAAAGCGAGAACATTTGTGTTGACAGCGTCAGCCACTGAGCTTTTCAGTTGCTCTAATCCCCTTCACTGCTCTGATCCTGACTCATGACTCCAGGCTGTGGATGAGTAAAGCAACTAAAACGGCACCTAGCTACTACCAACCTCCCAGGGACTCATTACCTGCCGCTCCATGGACACACATAAATCCTGTTGCCAGGGGGCCCGTCTCGTCAGCCCACTCCAGAGACACAGACTGTTGAGCTAACGTCAGCAGCCACAAAAATCCCTTGTTTTAAATATTCACCTGGGTGGGTCTTGCGTTTGTATTTGAAGAGACATTACTGTAATGTCAATGCTTATATCCACCACATCCATTTCATAATCATTTACGCAACTCTGATGAATCATGATCGAGAAAAAAAAAAGAACAAATCACCTAGAAGAATATCTCAGGAGGTCGCCCATATTGGTGATCTATAATGGGCCCAGCATAGCTAAGTATCATGTTTGATAAATGTTCTGTCTGAGCTGAACAGACGAAGCTGCCCTGTATTTGTACGATACGGGCTGCAAATTGAGAAGAGTCTAGTCTCTGATGAGCACAACGCTAGAGAGCGGTGCTGTTCAAACACAATAATTGGACTGGCCTTTACAGGTCGCAATAATCACACAATACGGACGGCTACAAAAAGGAAGCGGTGGAGGGAGAAAGAAAGAGAAGAATGAATACAAATTACCCACATCTTCCAGAATCAAATTTAAACTGAGAAAAAGAAAATGAAAACGGAAAGAAAATAGCTACTGGAATTTAAAAAAGGTGAACTAGAATTACTGCCTCTCGGTTGTATGCCTCCTCCAACCAGTCAAGTACTAGTGTTACTAGTACTTAGTTTCTTTTTACTAACCGTGTGAATGATGTGCTTGAACGTTGCTTCTCCTTCTTCTCGATGGTGGAGTAAAGGCTGTGTTTGGTGCTTGTAATCTTTACTTCGTGATTTTATATGGTTATGTTGGTCTATTTTGCAAATGGAACATGGGTGTCTGTCCATCCTGGGAGAGTGATCCGTCCTCTGTTGCTCTTCTTGAGGTTTCTTCCATTTTGCCCATTAATGGCAATCTCAAGACAAAGGATGTCGCAAATATTTTGTCAAATCCTTTGTTTGTGTTCACATGCTTGGCCAATAAAGGTGATTTTGATAGCATACACAGTTGTAGCCATGACAGCAGACAATGCTTCAAATGGGTGGCTGCAAAGAAGCTACATGTTCTACAACATGGGTGCCACACATATGTGCACACGCACACACCCGCACACACACCTGCAACCCGGCAGCACAGAAGATCTATACAATAACAACAGCTTCAAAGTGAGCACCCAATTCAGGATCTGACCAAATGTGAAATATCACAATATCCCTTCTGTTCCTGATGTCATATGAAAGTGATCATTGACCTGTTGGATATTAAATGTCATAAATTCACCATTTCACCCTATTGGACATTTGTGTGAAATGTTGTCATAATTAGCATATTCATTCTTGAATTATGGACAGAAACATGTTTTGTGACCTTTGGACACCAAATTCGAATCAGTTCATCCTTAAGGTGCAAGTGGACGTTGCCAAATGTGAAGAGTTCCCACAAGGCGTTCCTAAGAAATCGCATTCTCAAGAATGGGACAGACCGAAAACATAAAGCCTATGGCTACGGCTGGTGCCAGGGCGGAGGCATAAAAGAAGAGGTGAAATATGAGAAATGCACATAATGCAGGAGTCAAAGAAAGGCAGAAAGCAGCAGACATACCTCCCATTTATCCAACCATCCCCTTCTAATCAAATGCACTCCACTCCCTCCCACTCGCTAGTTTCATTTTCACAGCATAATGCAATCACAGGCAGCCTCCAGAGGAACCCGTCCCCACTGGTGTGAACATGCTGGGTGCAGACTTTCAGCAAAGATGAGCTGAATGGTGGAACGATGGGAGGCAACAGGTGTCTGGAATACATCAGTTTGACGTCCCTGTCGCTGTCCACACTGTTAGTCAGCCGATGAACAAAAGACAAACTGCTTCATTCTCCTCGATCTCGGGGTTCATGCAGCAGCCCGGATGGATTAAATGGAAGTCCGCTTTCGCATCAGAGACTCAGTTGAAGCTTGTTAAATATAAAAGTTGATGACTCCCTCCTGTGCTTATGATGAGCTAAACACTGAGATGACTGCTGCTAAATGATATAATCATTCAAACCTCAGCTGTGAATACTCAGATAGGTTCACAACGTAGTTAGGTACTCATATAAACATTAGGTCCCACTTGGTGACACTTTAAGTTGTTCAGTGTCCTCCTGGATCCATATTCTTCACATACACTTTATAATCTACTATTTTTTTCCATTGTTAAAGGCTTTGTGGTGGAGTTTTTCTTTATCTCAATCAAGGGTCTAAGGACAGAGAGTGTTGTACACTGTACAAATTGTAAAAGCTCCCTGACACATTATGATCTGTAATTCTGGGCTACATAAATAAAATATCACTTGAGTTGACACTGAAAGCACATTACAAAAGAATCTTTTAAAAAAGGTCCATTGTGTAGGTTTTAGTGGCACAGTGGTATAGTTGCAGATTGCCCTTCCAACCGCTAACGACAAACTAGGGCGGCTGCAAAACATACAGAGAACGGGCATAAAAAACGGTGAATCTACCCTTTAACTGCTTGCATTTTAACAGCTAAAGTGTTTACTTTATCCTAAGTAACATTATACCTAGACTTTATTTTGTCATGCGTTGCTAATATTAGCATAAAACTTTAAGTAAGAGTATCTACTAACTGTTATTTTGTAAATTTTATGTACTTTATAAAACCAGGATAGGGTTTTATACTCTGTATATATCTATAGTTTGTTCCACTGGACTTCCCACCCGCTACAGTTTGGAAAAATAGCAATGGACTTTTTTTCTTATTAAAAGGTTCTAGAGGCTCACAAATTAATTTATCAACACTAAACTCTGCTGTGGCCTCCAGCCAACTTTTATTAACTTAACTTTCTTTGAACATTTATAACTAATTTACACATTTAACTAATGAAAGAAACTCAATACATCACCATACAAATGTTTTCCAATGTAAAACAAGTATTATAAAAGATTGAACCCCTGAGTGCTCCTCACACAAACAACTGTCTACCTGCCGGGTGAAATCCAAACCTCTCAAAAATGAAATCCCTCAGAATAAACTCACAAACCCAAACCCAAACCCAAACCCACACACACAGACACACACAGACACACACACACACAGACACACACACACTCTCTCTCGAACACACTTATAAGCCGTAAATAGGTACAGATTGCCCCCTGGTGGCCTGAGAGCACATTACCTGGCATTGGCGATGCTCTGTAGGAGTTTCTGGGTTTGCTCTGAGAGGTCAGAGGGAACCAGGATCTCCACAGGGTTGATCTTTAGGACACGACCCTCTACCTCAGAACGGGACGGACCATCAGGGAAACAGTCCAGTAACACGTCTCCTGTGCTGGGCTGAACCGCCTACATACAAAAACACATGCATAGAATTAGGTTGCTTTTCAGGGGCAATGCTATGTCTCTATGAAATAATGCCGTCACGTTGCTCATATTAGGTACGGCAAACTGATTGTTCCTCTTTTTTTTTTTTAAGTGGGTCATTCCATTTCACATGGACATGCTTCTCCTCTAAATCAGATTATCTCAAACAAGTACAAGCTCTACCTCGTTGTAACTGCACCATAAAAAAGATAAAGTAGGCCAGCATGATGGGAAATAAGATTTCAGTTGAGGCTCTTTAGAAAAACAGTGAGAAGGTGAGATGTAAGTAATTTAGTTACTCTAGCATAACTTTATGCTCCATATCAGTGTTTGGTTATATGTATACAATCATCTATTAAAGCATATGTAATTTCTTGACATTGTTAAACATGCATATCATGATTTGCTACATTTTATGTAAATGTGTTAGTGAAAATTATATATAATATAAAAACCAGATGGGAATATGTGTTTCCAGCTGATCCAGTGGATTAAATGCCCAACACATCTCTGACCGCTGCCAAATTGTCATTATCTCACGGTTATAATCACCCAATTCTTCTCAACAGATGAGATTGTCTCACCTCATTAACCAGAGAGCGAAACAGAACTGAGATAACATTCAAATAAACTGACACTTATCAATCAGTTACATCAAAACAACTCCTTTATGTGTATTGGCAAACAAGCTGAGATGTAATGTTGTGAACTATAACTATTAATCTGCTTAAAACTGAACAACCCAAGTAGCCTGAAAGCATCTTTAGTCGTTATGAATGAGTACTCATCAGACTCACCACCAGCCCGACAGTGAGCTGCTTCTTCAGTTTGTCCCAGTTCTCACTGATACACAGCAGGAAGCTGTCAGGAGGGTCCGACACCAGATCACCACAAGCCCCCTCCTCCACATCCCTCAGTCTGCAGACCGGGTTCACATCTTAGCAAGCTGTCAAGGACACCACTTCTCACGCTCACACAGACACAGACACACACACACACACACACACACACAGACACACACACAGACACACACACACACACACACACACACACACACACACACACACACACACACACACACACACACACACACACACACACACACTAACAGTATTTTAGGATACCCTCTCCCACCAGAGTGGACTTGGTGTACAGAGCACTGAGCTGACGAGTGAACAGAGCGTTCCTATTGGTCCCTGAGGCCTTGATCGCAGACGTCTCTGTCTGCTTGACCACACCAACCTGGCAATGAAACATAATAATGTAGAGACAAAGAAACAACGTGGCTCTCAACAGCTTCTTAATACAAACAATACTCATACGCAAGATACATTTCATACCTTGTGTCCATGAGACACCAACCGTCTGACGTGGACAAACAAACGGTGTGTGGGGATGCTGCACGTCATGAAGTTATGATCCAGATGACAGAAGATATTCAGCTCCTTTGCAGCGATCTGTTCACACACACAAAGAACAACTGTAAGTAATGCACATAATATTTTAATTTAGAATAAAGTGTAGAGAGTAAGGCTGCACAATAGGAACTAAATCATATTGCGGTTTTACAATGATTCATAATTAATGGGAATTATAATTTTTACATACAATTTTGATTTGTACTAAAAGAAACAGTTAAAATCTTGATGCTGTGAACATTTGTTGGGGTCTGTACCAAACAACATTCAAACATTTTACCTTCATCAATACAATTAAACTTTGGTGATTTGTTTATTTCATTTGGCCACATTGTGATCTTGATAGTATTTAGATTGCAGCCCTAGTATAGAGCAATAAAATGTAGGACATAAATGAAAGCCTTTAGCAAAAAGTTAAAGAGAGAGGAGGAGAGGACACACTTGAAAATGACAAAAACACTGACTGGACGTATCAATTTCATTATGAAGTGAGATACCCATGACCTTCATACAGCAACATAATTGATATATTTTGGATTTAAACTGTTAATTTCCCTTCTGTGTCATTAACACAGATGCTTTTCAGTTCTCACCTCTGCATCCTCTCCAAAGAACCTGTACTTGTAACCACACTCCACAGCCAATAACGCATCCTGGTGCTGCTGTTTCAGCTGGATGACCTGCTGTTCCAGAGGAGTGTACACACTCTTTGAACGTTTAGAGGGGACACTAGAGTCTGACGGAGGACTCAGCTCTGCACCCCTTCCTCCTCCTCCTCCTCCTCTTCCTCCTCCTCTTCCTCCTCCTCCTCCTGACTTAGCAAATTGAGACAAGCGGAAGTCCTGCAAAAGAAAAAAAAACAAAGATAGCCTTTCAGTAGCAACAGTTCCTCATTCAAAGGTTTCAGTTCTCTCTTTCCTATAACCCATCTTTTGTTTATTGTTGTCTACAGCCAAACAAATACTGTATACATATATATATACTGGCCAACAGCCATATTGATGACTGATACTGGCCAATATTGTCATAATGTACATAAACAAATAACTATATTTCTAAGAGATCCCTAAAATGTGTTTTGTTGTGACCACAGCACAGTACACAGACACCTCAAACATATACATGAACTTCTCGTTACTTTCCAACAAACATATATTGGGCATAGGCCGGTCACAATAATTACATTATAAACTTATCATACAATATAAGGACATGACCTCAATAGTGCCTGTTGTATTTGTTTACATAAGAACACTCCCACTATAAGCATTTATCACCTAAGCCAAATGAACTGGAATGAAACTGTGCTGAGACGTTTTGCTGTCATTTCTGGTCACGCTGCTTCTCTCCTCTTGTCGCCTGCTCTCTGTGACTTCAACCAGAGATAAACTGACATCTTCTTTTACTCTTCCCCTACAGATATGTGGTCAAGCTCAAATATGACCCAGTACATTGCATTATCATTATATCACTGGCATAAAATGGGCTTTACTCCAATTACAATAATCATTATTGTGTCGATATTTCGGGGATATAATGTCAAACAGAAGTATTTATTTACACAACTCAAACTCATCATTGGAAAATTACTTTTTGCTTGCCTTCCTCTATAAAAGTCGGCTCCTAAGAGGCTGAAACGGACACCTCAGCAAGGCAGAAACTCGCCCTTATGAGAGATTACACATTCATGCTTGGGTCCCTGCCTAAAACAGAATCTGACAGTGATGTGATGGAGTCGACATTTTTTCCGGGCACCTGTTTTTTAGCCGCCAGCCCTGAACTCTTCTTGTCGTTGACCTCTTCCTCTTCATCCTCACACTCCTCCTCCGACTGTTGAAGTTGATCTGTAACGTCCAGAAGAGGACGAATGCTGCTTCCTGGGTCACAGATTTTGCTGTTAACACCGTCTGCCCTCTGGGTGTCACTGCGCCCGGCACTGGGCTCGGCCCAGCAGGAGAAGCCTTTCAGCTTCTCCAAGGTGGAGGAGCAGAGGCCCCCTCGGCTCGATGTTAGTGTCGTCTCTGAAGAGATTATACAGAAAAAGTAGGATTATTATGTGTATAAACCCATAGAAGAAAACACCAAATGTACTGCACTCAGAATTTGTTCCTGCCCTCGTCTCCATGCTGTTTGGAGAAGTGTGATGCTTTTAGAAAGGTGATAATTGAAGAGGGTGAAGGGGGACCTGCGTGACATTTGAGAAGAAAACTGATGTATTTTTTTCTGTGCAAGGTACACACACACACACACACACACACACACAGTCACCTTTAATGCTCTGACAGGAAGCAGGCTCGCAGTCCAAATCCTCCATCTGCTGGTCTTGTGGAGACAGTTTGGCTCGTTTTGTTGGCAAACCCAAATCATCATCGTGAGGGGAAAGTTTCTGCTACAGGACAAAAGCAGTTTCACTTCATACATTAGCATTACGTTATGCATATGTGATCTGTGTGTGTGTGTGTGTGTGTGTGTGTGTGTGTTAAATGTAAAAGTACACCACACCTTGCTTGCAGGTTTTCCTTTAATCCTACTCTGAGACACACTGCTGCTGCTCAGCCCGCCGAAGTACCTGCTAATGGAGGTCTGGCTGGTGCAGGACTTCTTCAGAGACTTTGGCATGTTTTACTTTGCCCTCATATAAGATACATCATGGAAACATGTTTAGAAATCTGCATGCGAAGCTGTACGGTGCAGCGAGAGGCTTTAGCTGCCCGGCTTTTCAAAACACAGCGGCGCATGAGCTGAGATCACACAGGCGCGTAAATGACGCACGCAGCGTCAAACCAATCAGACTATGAGAAGGTTTCCGGTTACGTTTCTTCAAAGTGAAACTTTTTTTTTTTTTCATTTTATGAGACTTACTTAGCTATCAGCTCTCGTACAGATAAAAATGATGCCTCAAATGAATAATGCGTGAGTGACCTTGTAAAATGTACTAACCACCAGATATTATGTGAAGTAGTTTGAAGTGTAGAGCAGTGATAGAGCAAAGTAAATGTACTCAATTGCTGTACTACTTAATTACAGTTTCGGGTTACTTTTACTTGAGTATTTACATTTCAGAGGGAAACATTGTATTTATTTGTCTAGCTACTTTTACAGATTCAGATTAATACAAAATTTAACAAAGATTCAACAACAATCAACTAATAAATTTATCATATAGTGTTTAAATTAAACTACACAGCTGTGTAATAGTTAAAATTAGCTCCACTTTTACCAGCAACAACATTAGTTATGCTCACTATATGTGACATAACTAAGCCTTTTAATGTATCAATATTTATAACGTAACAACATAACATTTAAAATTCTGAAATGGGTCATTATTGATAATAAGTACTTTTACTTTTGATACTCAAAGTACATTTAGATGCTTATACTTACTTCTATGTTGTGTTTTTTTGCACAATTTTTGTACAATTGTACCTGCATTTGAACTTGAACACTTTTTATCTCTAGTTACGTCATCTTGTTACGCTTTTATTTTGAAATCTACAAAGTTACTTCCGGTCCCATGTTTTCTGTACTTCTAGAAATAACAATGTGCACCACCTGATGTGCAGAAAACTAAAACTGTGAGGACCATTATTTAAATTTAAGAAAAACATACTTCCTTGATAAACTTCCTCTGATATTATTGCGCCATAGTCCAGTGGAAAATAATCAAGACATGATTATTATTTTATATTCTAGAAACAAATTCTTGATATCAGATAAATAAGTTCTCTTTCCCATGAGCAAGTCAGATGTTAAAGGTAACTCATACTGCTGAGAAGAAGAGTCCAATAGCTTTTTTATTTAGGCCTACATACTAAAATGTCTCAGATCCACTAATCAATAAAACATTTTATAGCATCAAATCATCAAGATATCAGATTATTATTAGAGGGGGACACTATGGGGTGCCGTTTGTAAAGCAGCTCACGTTGAAAATAACAGCAACATTTTGTCACATTTAGCTTCAAACAATGTTTAAAAAACTGGTATGAATTTTTGAGGGTCACTTTTTTGCACATTTACAACAATATTTGTCAACTTAGAGATATTTTAAATAGTTAAATCCAAATATTAAATGTTACACCTAAATGTTAAATGTAAAATCTAATTTCTATTTTCAGCGTGAGCTGCTTTACAAACGGCACCCCATAGGGACACAAGCTGAAATTGATGTGAAAAACACTGCTTTTATCGAGCCCATACAACCAATAGGGCCTTACTCAAATTTCATTCCTGCAGTGTGCCAAACTGATGACACTTCCCAACTTTCACATTTGGCTTAAACGTTCAGTATCATATTTCCACTTTATTGTTCTTACTGGTCTGGGCTGGTCCTGACTGTATCTGATAGAAAGCACATAAGGAGGTGTTTTTTTACATCATGTATTTTCGGAACAAAAGGAGGAAGTGAAAGGGCTTTTTTTGTCTAGAAACAAGAGGTGGAAAACACAGATTAGAATTTATTGCACAAAGCATATTCACCAGGTTTTTTTCTGCTACCAAAGATGATCTTAACGGCCAAATAACTTAAAATACAAAAACAAAACTAAGTTCTGAAAAAACAGGCTATATGGCTGCCTCAGGGATAATGGGGTCACTTTTGGACCAACGTCACTGGGGAGGAGTCTTTGTGAGGAAATGCAAATGTTCAAGTTCTGAGAAAAGACTGAGTAGTTGGGCTGAAAGATTCAGAAGGCTTCTCTCCAGTACCTCTCTCACTTGGCTGATTAACAATCTGTGTTTCTCTCTGTTCATGATGCAGCTTTACGGAGCTCTGATCCTGTTTATGACTCTGTCTACAGGTAAGAACAGCTTTTGGTTTAGCACTAGTGCTTTGAGTGAACTCTGAAATTAAAGTACACCACACCCAAAGTATAGAAAAGAAATGTGTTGTTGGTGTTGTTGTAAAAACTGTGCTGTCAGAAACTAAATAATAGTTAAATGTTTTAGGAAATATGCTCATTCGCTAGATGAGAAGATTGATACAGAGACAATTTAGGTTTTCTGTGGGGGTTAGGTGTCAAACTGTTTGTTTCTCGGAAGCAGTGAGTCTTCACTGTTTCACTTCATAGTGGTGAAAAGATGCCAATTAGTATGTCAACCTTTGAAGAGAACTCTTTCCCATCTTCCTCCCAATGTTATTATATTTAACTAAAACTAAACTAAAAACTAATAGTAGGTGTAAAAAAACAACAACATTTTAGTTAACTGAAATAAAAATAAAAAACTAGACTTTAGAAAAAATACAAACTAACTGAAATAATATTATGTACTTACAAAACAAACTAAAATAAAAATAGACAGGAAAGTTTTAGTCTTTGTCAATTTGGTCAAATTTGTCAACACAGCAAGTACGAGAAGGAACTGGTCCATATGTTTGAGACTGATTGTGTTGTAATAATTCTGATCTTCTTAAATCTTGACAAATACGCCCCATATTATAATTAAAAAAGCTAAAACAACTAAACTAAGACTAGACATGTTTACACTAAACACTAAAAATGAAACTGAAACCAGCAGTTTCACTCTGGAAACTAACTGAAACTAAACTGAATTAAAAACAACATTTAAAAATGAAATAAAAATTAAAACTTATGAAAACATGAAACTATGATAGCTCCTAATAGCTTCCTGCCCTCAGTTTCTGTCACCTCTCTGCTCGACTATCCCATAGAGGCCCAAATAAATATATAAACTAGACTATATGATGTAAATTTATTCCATTAAACTCTGTAGTGTGATAGAGTTTAGTACGTTCCCTTTATATTTCATTAACAAAAAATAAATATTTAAAAGAAATAAACCATTTGCACGCACCTACAATAATGTTTAAATAAATGTTTCACTTTGTGCTGATTGTGCACTCAGATAGTTTCTGGTTCATATATTGGCAGCTCTGAATCACTTCAAGCTGTCTTATTGTAAAACTTTCAGGGGTGTGACCTAACTACACACTTCTTCTACAGCAACAAAAAATGTGTGAAAACTGCTGCAAACCAGGAAGGATTCATGTCATATGCTGTATGTCTTTAACTGGTGTGTCCTGTGTGTCCCTGCACAGCCTGTGGATTAAGATGCTACACATGCACAGCCGCAGACCCTAAATCCTGCACAGACACCAAATCTTGTTCTGTCATCTTCAACCGCTGTTTCTCTCTCAGAGTAGACGGTAAGGTTTTCTTTTACTTTAGAAGGTTTCCATAGCTAATATTGATTATATATTGGTCTTATTGGAGTTTTCCCATCCTGTTTTGCAGGTTATAGCATGGTTACCAAGGGGTGCCAAACCAGCATAGCATGTGTTGGTGCCATGAAATGCTGTGAAGGGGACTTGTGTAACAGTGCCATGCCAACTGGTCCCAGTGTCGTCCTCCTGCTGGTCTCCTCAGCCATCATCACACTTCTTCACTGAGACTCTGGAATTTTTTTTATTTCTATATTGTACTTTTTTCTGACCAAATTTGTACAACTAAAGAAGAATAAACAATTTCTGATAAAATAAACAACTCTATTTTTAAGTAAGTGAGATGATCTTACATTTAGATTTTAGATGGATATGGATCGAGTTATCTAGTGCTGACTGTAACATATCTGTTACAGGACTGGCAGTATGCTTTGATACTTATTTTAAACTCTGAAGTTTGCAGAAAAAAACATCCTATTTCATCCTATTTCAATAGTCTTTTGGTTTGCACAATTGTATATTCTCAACTTTATCTTGTGATGAAACATCTTACTTTAAATTTCACTTTTCACATTGATAACAATGGCACATACAAGACAGACCTATATTGTCAGAAAAATCATTAATTCTAACACTTTCTCTGATGATGAAAATAATATAAACCAGAGTAGCATGTATGATTTCATATGAGCCAGGCACAGACAAAATTATGTAGACTCTCTATGAAAAAGGACAAGCTTTTGTTGGTCAATAGTTTCTTCAAATATGATACTTTCACAATGTTCATTGTCAATAAACAAGCCTTTACAACAAGGCAAGTAGACCCGTGAGGCTGTAGCTTTGAGCTAATTGCTAAACACATCCCAGATAAATGTATCAAACTGTTTTCAGTTGAATACCCATAGCAATCAGCAGCAGGGATATGTGCGTTGATGCACAATACATAATTTTACTTACTTCATTAGTAACTACTTCATTAATCTTGTGACCCAACGGGACGTAACAGTCATTGACCTCCCTTTCCTGCACAGTTACATGTATAAGGGGATCCAAACAGATTCTGGGTCTATATCCTGTGACAATTTGCATACTGTTATGTCAGCAGGATTATTATTATAATAAATAATAATAATACATTTTATTTAAAGGCGCCTCTCTGGGCACTCGAGGACACCGTACAACACATAAAAAATAAAAACAGTAAGAAAATTATTGGAATTATTATTGGAATCTCTCTTTATGTAAGAGGTTGGATTGATTTCACCCTAGCAGTGTTTGCTCTCATATCACATCAACTTCAACAGCAGATTGTGATTGTTTTCATTGCATAGTATATTTTCACTTCTCCATTCTGGCTTGCAAAATGAGGCTTAAAGTTAATTCTTGAAATTTTGCAGCCTTTAAATATGCCACGTAAAGACTATATAACAATATAATAACAATAATAATGGAGACATTTTATTGGTGTCTCCCTAATTCTTTTCTAAAACAACATATTACATATTTGGCATGCTGTAAAATACATTCTGTATATTAATATTTGAATTAATTATAGAAATCTT